CTAAAATTGAAAATTTAACCCTGATAACAGAATTGTGCTGTTTTTATTTTCTAAAATTGAAAATTTAACTGATAACTGAATTGTGCTGTTTTTATTCTCTAAAATTGAAAATTTAACCGATAACTGAATTGTGCTGTTTTTATTTTCTAAAATTGAAAATTTAACCGATAACTGAATTGTGCTGTTTTTATTTTCTAAAATTGAAAATTTAACCGATAACTGAATTGTGCTGTTTTTATTTTCTAAAATTGAAAATTTAACCGATAACTGAATTGTGCTGTTTTTATTTTCTAAAATTGAAAATTTAACCGATAACTGAATTGTGCTGTTTTTATTTTCTAAAATTGAAAATTTAACTGATAACTGAATTGTGCTGTTTTTATTTTCTAAAATTGAAAATTTAACCGATAACTGAATTGTGCTGTTTTTATTTTCTAAAATTGAAAATTTAACTGATAACTGAATTGTGCTGTTTTTATTCTCTAAAATTGAAAATTTAACCGATAACTGAATTGTGCTGTTTTTATTTTCTAAAATTGAAAATTTAACCGATAACTGAATTGTGCTGTTTTTATTTTCTAAAATTGAAAATTTAACCGATAACTGAATTGTGCTGTTTTTATTTTCTAAAATTGAAAATTTAACTGATCACTAAATTGTTCTGCTTTTATTCTCTAAAATGTTCTCCACCTCAGATTTTTCTTCTTGAATAAATGGTTTGACTAATTTAGTTTTTAAATTTAAAAACAAAAACTATTGAACTGATGGTACATGTACATAGTGATCATGACACACACACACAACAACTTACAGTGTTCTTTTCCAAGGTTTTAACACCATTGCTTATTATTATTTTTCAGTTATGGTCAATTCTATTTCTTTGGTTTTAATGAAATAAAATAAACATGTGTTAACATGAATTAATTTTTTAGAATACTTGATCGATCTGTACAATTGCTGAAATCTGCTATATGAGTACTGTAAGAGTACTGTAACGGCTTTCATGATAATAACAAATAATATGTATTACCTTTCACACAATAAATTTACAAGTTTTTTCTAGCTCACATCATATTGATTGGTAATCTTAATTATTTTTAATTGTCTATGAAACATCGTAAGTGATTATGTTGTGAACTAAAATGTTGACACAAAATGATTCACCATGTGTGGCACCAACGTTTTTGTGATCACTGATCTTTACTCGTACATGTATTTCAAATTTCAATTGAATTTGAACTCTATTTTCAAACCAAGAAAATTTTTATGGTAGACAATAACAATTACAGATGTTACAGATGAATTCCAAGACTGCACTTCCCATTATTTTCCCATTATTATCTGATAACGAGGGTGGAATGAAAATGTTGTCTTGAATAATTGATGAGCCTTATCCCAGTCTTTGTCATGCAGTAATGGACAGTGCAGTGTCCTTTTGTTTTTTAAACAATGGTCTGTTTGTAATTCTGTCCTATGAGTTCTTGATTCCATCTTATTTTCATACACAGGTTGTGAATCATTGAAGAAAATTGATTTGACAGTGAATTTTGTAGGAGAATTAACCAGTATTGAATGTCTTAAAAATAGTTATAATCTTCAAGAATTGTAAGTTTTCACTGATTTATTTTTACCCGGGGGTGGAGTTGGGGGTGGTACATGTATGTGTCTCCAATCTAGTTTTACATGTATGCACAGTATAGAGGGACTGTGATGTATGGTAGATATATTCAGATTGCAGGACTTTTAAAGGAAACAAATAATTAAGGCAGGGTATCTACTTTCTATTTTTTGTGTACCATTTACTAATTTCAAATAGTAAAAACTAAATATGTATTTTACTTGATGTTTTTGTTTTATGTATGAAATTTGTTTAATGTGATTTGTGGTCCATGTATCACTTTTTCTTATCAAAGTACATGTGTACACATGTTTTCCTGTATAAACTCACACTGCTAGGACTGTCATGTCATGTTAAAGTGAGCTTTGTATTTATTTCTAGGTTTTTGACAGGTAATCCATGTGTTAATTATGAAGGCTACAGACAGTATGTGATTGCTACACTACCCCAACTGATGGTAAGGCTGACCTAATATGGTATACTGCAAACCAGATATGGTATACTGCTAACCAAATATGGTATACTGCTAAACAAATATGGTATACTGCTAACCAAATATGCTATACTGCTAACCAAATATGGTATACTGCTAACCAAATGTGGTATACTGCTAACCAAATGTGGTATACTGCTAACCAAATATGGTATACTGCTAACCAAATATGGTATATTGCTAACCATGTACGGTTTACTGCTTACCAAATATGGTATATATGTTCTTTTTGTATTGAGGTGTTCGTATGCAAGGGATTGTTCCACAAAAACTTGACAAATACATTCAAATTTCGGTAGCCTTCTGGTTGGTTGAGAAGTTTGGTATTTGATTTGCAGGAAAATAAAAAACCTGTTTCTCAACTTTTCTTGCTTTAGTTTCAAGCTGTATTTATCACTTGTACGCCAGCTTTTCAACTAACTTTCTGTGACAATAAAACTTAAACTGTCACTGTGTCACCTGTGTTTCCATTATAGTATCTTGATGGTAAACAAATCAGCAAATCTGAGAGGATCACAGCAATACAACAATTAGATACAGTCAAACCATTCATATTACAACAACAAAAAGAATATGCAAAGAAAAGGGTAAGTATTCATCTCAATTATATTAACATTTAAGTAATTGTTATTTTGTCTTTATACTGACTATAGGGATTAAATATTCAGGTTTTCGTTTTTCTAATTTTGTTTATTCTCGGGGGTGTGCATCTGGGCATTTTCACAGCCTGGCAACCGTCACGGTGAAAACAAAGGCCGAAAACTTTCAGAAAACGGTACTTTGGGATAGTTGTGAGACTCCCCTGAGCAGTGTAACAAGATCAACCCTACAAGTCCAACATATATAAATTTGGTTGTTCAGAATTTCTTCAAAATTGATTTGTGGTGTTTTCTCAAATTTAGCAATTTTCACTGCCTCTTCGACCTGTGTTCCACACCAGCTCGCACAGAGCCCATAGAAATACATGGTACGGTGGTGCACATCTTAACAACGTGGAACGTCTTGTGATGTAGCTCCGCTCCGAGGATAGTTAAATGCATAAAATTAAACCCCATGAATAGTTAAAAATTGTTTTGTTTTTTCAAACCAGTGAATTTAAAACCTAGTGAATATCCCTGGAACATAAAATTTGCTAAATTATTGTTCTGCTGTCTGGTGATGAGAAAGGTTCATGCTATGACTGAGTTACAAATAAAATTAAGACAATGCAAAACTTTACATGAAATTACATGAAATCTCTCGTAATCATGTTTTTTTCTTGGTAAATTCCAACTATTTTTTTTTCCAGGCACAAGAAAAACAAGAAGCTGAAGCCAAAAAAGAAAAGAAAAAGCAGAAAACAAAATCACAAAAAGATAAAAACCCTGGGTTTGATGGGAGATGGTATACTGATATAAATAAGTAGGTAGACTTTTGATTGCCTGAATTGTAATTCACAAGATGGATATGTAATACTGTAATGTTGTATCTTAATTCCAGTGACATATAGCATGGCCGATCCAGTCAAATTAAATATCAGATTTTCACATCAAACCAATATATTGGTTTTTGAGTGATCACACTTGAGGAAAATATTTTGTATGACTTTATTTATTACAATTGTAGAAAATTTAAACACCATGATCATCACAACACAGCATGTTTACTGATGAACCAGCTTAGAAGAATCCCAAAAAACTGTTATTAGAAAGCTG